TACCTACCTATATGCAAGATAGATAATTGTACAACTAATCTCTGTTAGTTTATCAGAGGAACAGTTTGTGCTTTCATTGTTTGATTGATATTTTTCATGCCTGTATCTGCTAATCTGAACAACTACTTTGAAGATGATAATATATAATATGACCACTATTAATCTGCTATTATTTTTTTTTGAAATTCTGTACCATTTTTATTCTTTATCATTTTTAAGTTTTAAAACATTTAAAATTACATATTAATAATATTAACCCTCACTTAAGTAAACTTTTATAAAACCGCTAAATTAACCTCAGATTATCTCATCTCCCTCAACGGCACCTCCCCCGTACCCCGAATTTATTTCCTTGCGTCAGGACCTACCTTCCAAAGAAGGTAAAACCTCCACAGCATACCACAAGCTGGCAACCAGGCTTTTAGCACATGGCCAATGGGAGACATTTGCAATCCCAGCCACACTGGGGTCATCTGATTAAGGTGAGGGTTGAAGTTGTACTTGTAGAATTTCAAAATAAAGTGGCAACGCAGAGAAGTCCAATTTTAGAAAATCATCTTTTTTTCTTGCATTTCTGAGTTGTTTGGGTTCAGCCAACTGGAGTTTCCATGCACTGGGAGAGACCAGTTGATTCTGTACCAAAATAATCCCAGATGAAATCAGTTTTCTCTTTTAATTCTGATGCTTGATATAAAGATGTTGAGTGCATCTGTTTTAGAGCTGAGTCACATTAACTGCATCATTCAGCTGATGTCTAAAACTAAGAATTCTTGTTGCTTGTTTACATTAGGAAGTATAACTGGGACACTGTCCAAAGTATTTGTATTGGTACATCCAGGGCCAAAATGTGATCAGAAGAATGTATGTTAGGCATAAGATCAGAACAGAGAAATTAATGATGTTAGTTTAATCAAATATCTGATAACATTAAGTTAAATAGACAGCACCGTTTTCACAGCAGAGGAAGTTTGTCCTTCTCAGTTGAAATATACCTATCGTCTTTAGGGTCTATCTCACCCATGAACCTCCTGCAGGATATGAATGAATGCATCACCAATGATGGTTTTCGCTTTGCAGGGCCTTATATCTGTACCCCTTTTCTTATGCATTTCATCTACCTGATGCCAGAGATCACTTGCATTTCTAATTCTTACCATAAAGGATTATCTCATTTGCAAATTCCTTGGATGGTGAAGAGCCATCTCATGTACTAACAAGTGTGTGTGTGAATGAATTAGATGGCTTTAAGTAAGAAAAAAAAAAAAACAAAAGAAAGGGGTTTTGAGGAAAGTCAGAACTGCAATTAATTTCTGCAGCTGCCACATAAAGCAGCCAGCTGCTTTGATTTTCAGATCATTTGAAAGTTGATTTCTTGGGTGAAAAAGCTCTACAGTCATGTCCTACGGAAATTGTGAATCAGGAAAAGGAGAGTTTCTGTGCCAGGATATAGGTTGGAGTAACAAGTAGCCACTGACACACCATCGCTGTACTCATCTTGCTTACCTAAGGTGGGCTCCTGATGTTGGACCACAGATTTATTTGGCAACAGTAAGGTGTAAGAGCCAGTAAAGCTGCTTGATTGAATCAAGAGGGGACTACATCCCATGTGTTGTTTTTCTGTATTCCTTCCTGAAATGATTCTTCCTTTTCTTTCTCATTTACAACCTTACTAGCCCAGGCTTTAGTTCCTTTTCAGACTAATGACTTTAAAATTTAGTTGTAGGACGACTGCATGGAAGCCTAACAACCAGTTAGGAAATGGTTTAAAATATAGATCCCAAGATTCTGACTTACTGAGTATGAAGGAAGGACCCAAGAGAATGCATTTTTCAAAGCTCTCCGTGCTGAATACAGATGTACAACCAGATAGGGACACTCTTGAGGAAACACTGTATTATATTGTCATGAATCCCTTTTACTTTCTGATTTTTCCCTTCCGGTTCACTGTCACACTGATGTTAAACACACATATGCACACTCACACATACACACACACACATGCACACACAATTATTTTGTTAATGTCACTTCCTTGTACAAAAAAATTACTTGTCTGTAGAATCAATCTGATAATCTCTACTAGTGAATTTCCTGATGCCAAAACCTATAAATGCACTTCCTTGTAACAATTAATACAGAAGTTCCATATGAGACCTTTCATTTATATGTAGTTTCTTATCAATGAGTAAGAAAATAAGATTTTGGTAAATAAAATTGTTTCACTTTTACAAGTACTTTTTAGTATATATGGCTACATTTATTCAGTTACTACAAATTTTATTATTCATATCATTGTATGGAAAATCAATAGAAATTTTTCCAATTTTGAGCAAAACTTTTCTTATTCAGGCACTCGATATGTACACGTTCCACTACTTAGTTCTTCTGTTGAGGAAGGTTGGTGAAGATATCACCATGTTGGAGTAATTAAACTGAGTCAGTAATTTTGAGATTTCTCCACCGACCACATATACCCACAATTTACATGTTCAAAATAAAATTTGAACCCAGCCTTGTTTGATTCTACAACTTGGGCTCAATGAAGTAACCAGTTTTACTTTCCCCTTTCTAATTGTTCCCATATGTCTCTAGCCACTGTATGAAAAAGCAACGAAAAGTCCTCAGTTCTTAAAAGAAGAATATGATTCCTTAAAAATTTGATAAAATAAAAATATGTCTGTCCTTTGTTTTGGATAGATTTTACACAATAATTTATAGCTATTTCTTTTAACTATATTTTTAGAGAAATATGATTCCCAGATGAAAAAGCAAAAACTAGACAACTATGGAAGGTGCTGGTCTGAGAAATCCTGATGAGTTTGGAATTATTGCTTTCTTTCTACCTTGCTTGTAGAATAATTTGAAGCCACCATGCTACCTCTGGCTTTCTTTTTCATATGTCTCTAAATAAGAAGTTGGAGCTCTGGAAGCTAGAAAAGGAATAGTATGTATTCCTTTCCTTTTTAATAAAAATGTTTCAAATAAATTATAATATTCCTAGGAAAGTCATAGTGCATAGAATGGTAGGAACAGTTCTGTTTGCTCATTTGCAAGAAATCAAAGCATGTCACTTAGTGTTCAGCACACTGAAAATTAGATCTCTTTACATTTTTTTCTTAGGCAGCAGGAAGAAGCTGGAGACAATGGTAAAAATGTCATGATCAAATAACAAGGAAACCTAGGCATAGATCTAAAGGCTCAGAGTATGGCAGATCCATGCAAAGGAGAGTTGGAAAATAGAGCCTGTTGCAAGAACTGATAAAGAAGACTTCATTACTTAGCCTATAATATAATATCTAGATATATAATATCTAGATCTGTAAACGCATATTCTTGATGTATGTGTTGATATATGGCCTTGGTATCCCTAAGAAAACCTGCTGTAGGGCTGGAGATTTAGCTCAGTAACCCAAGTACCTGCTTATCAAGTGCAAGTTCATGAGTTCAATCCCTGTACTCCCCCCCCCCAGCCCCAAAAAAATAGAAAGAAAGAAAGAAAGCAGATCTGTGTATTACAAAATTAAAACTAGGAGAAATTTCTTTAACCAGAAGGAAGTTCTTCTTAAATATAATTCTTCCTACCAGTAGGTTATAGATGTGGATAGATTATAGGTGATAGTGTCTTCAATCTTGCATTGAGAGAGATGTTCTCACTGTCTCCCATCATAAATCTTTGTAATTTAAGTGATATTTTTATGTGGTTAGCAGTCAACTGCTGGGTGACAGAGCCCATGGTCTCATTTCTTTTCTAACTCTAGAAATGAATATAAGGTGGCATATGGTAGGTATTTGTTTACCAGTTGACTCAATTTTATGGCCCTCTAATCAATTTTGAGCTACTGTGATTACTGAATGTGTATCTGTGCCACTGATCCATATGCAGAATCTCTGAATTCTCTATGTAGTCTACCTGACTAACCCAGAGTCTCTCTCTGCACCTTTAATTCTGATTTTTTAAATTGTATGAACCAATATTGGCAGTGATTACTCACAAACTGCTTATAACTAGAGTGATGAAATTTTGCTAAGTTGCTGTTCAACCATATGAAAGAGTGTTAGTATTCAGTATTACAATTGAAAGTAATAGACACAGCAAAATTAATAATATTAGGAAAGTAGAGTTTTTCGAAAAACTAAATATAAATCAGCACTTTGTGTTTGCAAGGTTTTTGGCGGAGGATTTGTAGTGATGCAGCAAGACATTGCTTTATGTTCTTAATTATTGGACACCCAAGCCAGTTAACCACAGGAGCATAACATGTGGAAACTTCTAACTTTTCCAAAACACTTAGCATTAGTCAGATGCTTTTTTAGAATTCTGTGTCCATTTTGACTGAAGGAAAATATGGAGGGTTTGGCAAGGGCTCAGAGTATGGCAAATCCATGCAGAGGAGAGTTAGAAAATAGAGCCTGTTGCAAGAGGCTGATAAAGAAGAGTTCATTACTTAGCCTGATCTAGGAGTGCTGAAGGGTGAGTCAGTTAATGGTCTTCTGTTGCATATATAGTTATCATGTGGAAGATGATACAGTTATTTCCACTATGAATGGAATTAGCAAATGGATTTACGTTATGGTTAACAGTGATTCTGAAAGAGCGTAAAGAACTTCCTGACTTTAAGGACTGTTGGACAGAGGGAAGACTTCTCCACAGCAAGTATAAAGTACTGTTCCTTTCAGAATAGGATTAGGGTGGATCCTGCTTGTCAGTTAAGCGTGTTGCAGTAGGAGCAGAAATTGCCAAGTGTCCTAGATCCTATTTCATGCTGCTCAGCTCACAGTGTTCGACATTTTCCAGGAGTAATGGGCACATCCTCTTTGTATTTTTGCATCTCCTTTACAAATATGAAATCTTCCTTTTAATGTGTCTGTGGTGCATTTCAAGTAAACAAAAGGTTAAACTGTAAATTGAAAAATTGTCACTGTAAATCTGCTTGTTCCTTATTCTTACATGAACCCTACAATATTATCAATTCCAAATTTTTTTTGTTTTCCTTCTTTAGAAAATTCACTGCATACCCTACTCGCTTGTTCTACAATGAGTGCCAAATCTGCCATCAGCAAAGAAATTTTTGCACCTCTTGATGAAAGGATGCTGGGAGCTGTCCAAGTCAAAAGGAGGACAAAGAAAAAGATTCCTTTCTTGGCAACTGGGGGTCAAGGCGAATATTTAACTTATATCTGTCTATCAGGTAATGACAATCAGATTGATGTTATTAAAATAACTTCTGTTTTATGACATTCAATTCTAAGGCATACAGGAGAGACATATTAATTTTCTAGATGTCTGGTGTTCCATTTTTTTTCCCGCTTTCTCTGTTGTCTTTCTCTGATCCCTGTTTGCACATGACATTCCTATTTTTGAGGTTGCTTTATATTGTAAAGGTAGTAAAGTTTAATCTTAAAGCATTTTTTGGGCTCAATAAGGATTTCTGCAAAGAGTTTGGTAGACATTTATTTGTTCATACTTGCCTTTATAGGAAATGGTCTTTTCTTCTGGGGATTTTTGTTTTAGAACAATTCTTGCTGTTTGGATAATTGTCATTACTAGTAGCTTGAGTTTCATTGATTTTCTTTTTTGAGAGCATTGCCAATAATTAGTAATAGTTTGTCTTGAGATAAATACTGACATCTTATGGAATGTGAGAAAGAAATGTTCACAGGTCTTGGCTTTGCCTGACAGCTGTTGCCTTGTCAGGAAGAAGCATCTGTTTTATAAAGTTTAGAATTTTGTTGGATTACTTTTTTTTTCTTGTTTGTGATTATAGAGATCTGTGGGATTTACTGTGGATTCACACCAAGTTTTTTTCAAGATAAAATTTGGATAAAGTTTCCATGGTATTATGGATGATGCTAATCTGGACCTCTGGGGCATCTACAATATTATGATAGTATGTCTGGTAATGGCTGACAAAAGAATTATGCTTACCTTAATTCATCTGTTTAAAATTACATTCATTTGTGGTGTGGAAGTAAAATTTTATTTTTCAGCTTTTTGAAAAAAATAAGCCTCTGATTATTTAAATTTGTCAGAATTCATTTCTACCTGGAAATAGCTTTTATCAGAAAGAACGTATGAATTCATTTTAGGTTAAAATGAAATAAGAACATAGCAATTTGAAAAGAATGAGTTTTCAGTGCTTAGAAGAAAGCATTCAAATGCACGTAAGAGAGTCAACTTGAAACATTTGTCTCTGTTTCCTAAAGAGGAATTGGATGACAAAATTTGGTTATTGTTAGGCGATACATATATTTCTTTAGTGTGCCAGGCAGGAGGGGCTCAGTATCTAGTGACTAAGTGAAAGAAAGAAGTAACCTTTAATTAAAACTTTTCTAATATTCTTTTATAAGATTTAAGTCTTCAGTATATATTTATATTCTTAAATTTAGATCCTGGAGTTTGTTTATGGCACTAATATACAGAATACATGCTATCTTGGTTATTTTGTCACTGTGAGACAGTCCCCAACACTCACAGATTAAAGGAGGAAAGGATTATTTTGGCTTATGTTTCAGTCCATGGTCAGGTGGCTCCAAGATAGGACAGCGCAGTAAAGAGGAATAGAAGAGAAAAGCTGCTCATGACATGGTGATCAGGAAGGGAAGAAAGTAAGGGAAGAGTTGGAAAGAGAGATGTACTCTTCTGGGTCTTCTGACCAGACTTCTATCTCCCTTTGGCTATACTATCCCCATAATCCATCTACTCACCTTCCCAAAGCCTTACCTACAAGCACATGAGCCTCTTGGGGAACATTTAAATATAAACTACCACACATGCCAATCAAATTGACTTTGTATTTGGGCTGAGCCAAACATGGAAAGAGTACAGATGTATGATACTTCTATTTTTTGAAGTCTGTCCACTCAATATTGGGTATTTGAAGGGTATTGAAGAAAAGTCGGTGGTCCAGAAGCCACTTGAGTTTTGCCCTGTATAATAGATCTGCTCAAACTATATGGTTAATATTTAAATTAAAATAATTACTAAAGCAAAAGACCCATTGCTATATATTGCCCTCAGAATACTCCCTATTGATCTGAACATACTATTTTCATCATTCTTGCTACTTTCTGAAATATATCTGAAAGTTCTCTTTAATGAGTGTCTTTATGACCTATGATTAAAAAGAAAATATGGTGAATGTTGCAGCTAAAAACACTCATGAAAAAGCACTTCTCAGAAATTCTTCAGAAAATGGCAAGGATCAGGGGATAAATGTGCTTGAAGCAAGGAGGCATATTTTGAGGGGAGTTAATGGCAATGTATCTTTCACTGTAATAAACTTTTAAAATTGAAACATTCACTATATTTTTATTCATTCCACTTATACCTATAACTGAAAGGGGACTATTTTATTTGGTTTTAGACATATGCTATTGTCTCCCTATTGCTGACATAAAGGCTCTAAGAGTGGTATGGGGCTTCTATCAGCTTTAGCTCAGTGAAATTGCATAACCATTTGCCCTGTCATAGAAGATAATGACGTGGGATTTACTGAGTAGCAGCATTTACTTTACAAATTACCAACACTTTTGGGTTCAAAGTTTGAAACTATGAGAATTGATTGAATGAGAATGCATTCTAATAGAGGAAAATTTTGTGTTCTGAAAATCTTTCTTTTCATGGTTATGAGTTTTGAGAGGCGAGATAAATAAAGTAGATCTGACATTTCATCAGATGCTACAGTGGAAATTGGGACAGGAAAAGGCCAGCAACTTTGACACTGTTTTTAGAGTTTGGTTTTTTCTTCTAAGTGACTAGAAAGTGGTCGCTATTATTTTCTAACTCAATAAATGTAATCCACCATATCAATAAAGCCAAAAATAAGAATCACATGATCATCTCTATAGATGCAGAAAAAGCCTTCGATAAGGTCCAACACTTATTCATGATAAGAACTTTACAGAAAATTGGAATAAATGGTCTTTACCTCAATATAATAAAGGCCATTTATGACAAACCAACAGCCAGCATCATACTAAATGGCCAAAAATTGAAAGCCTTTACTTTAAAATCGGGTACAAGACAAGGATGTCCTTTATCACCACTCCTATTTAATATAGTACTGGAAGTACTAGCCAGAGCAATTAGGCAAGAAAGAGAAATAAAAGGGGTAAAGATAGGAAAAGAAGAAGTTAAATTATCATTGTTTGCAGATGACATGATACTCTACATAGAAGACCCCCTAAACTCCACTGAAATACTCTTAGATACAATAAATAAATTCAGTAATGTGGCTGGATACAAAATCAATACTCAGAAATCAATAGCATTCCTATACACGAACAACAAAATTACAGAGAGGGAAATAAGAGAAACTGGACTATTCACATTAGCAAGCAAAAAAATGAAATATTTAGGAATTACTCTTACGAAAGAAGTGAAAGACTTATACAGTGAAAATTATAATACACTGAAAAAGGAAATTGAAGATGATCTCAGAAAATGGAAAGACATCCCTTGCTCATGGATAGGAAGAACAAACATTGTGAAAATGGCCATTCTCCCAAAACTGTTATACAGATTCAATGCAATCCCAATAGAAATACCATCAACATACCTTAGATCTAGAGAAATCACTCCTAAATTTCATCTGGAACCAGAAGAGACCTAGAATCGCAAAGGCAATTCTAAGCAGCAAAGACAAAGCAGGAGGCATCACAATCCCTGACTTGAAGTTATACTACAAAGCAACAGTAGTAAAATCAACATGGTATTGGAATCAAAACAGAGCTGAAGATCAGTGGAATAGATTAGAAGATACAACCACAACTACGAACACACTCAACCACCTTATTTTTGATAAAGGAGCCAAGCAGGTTCACTGGAAGAACGACAGTCTCTTTAATAAATGGTGCTGGAAAAACTGGCTCTCCATTTGCCGAAAACTAAAGCTAGACCCATGTCTATCACCATGTACTAACTCAAGTGAAGCTTAGAGGCATATCAGTCTTGGTTAGGTAAGGTTTTTATTAGTAGTTTGTGAATTAGTTTTTATTAAGTACTTTCTATGTGCTGAGTGCTCTAGGTGCTGAGGGGATAGTTACATGATGGAGAAGAAGCAGTAAGACATTAATAAGTTACAAAAATGAGCAGGCTTATAAACTGTAGAAAGACCCACAGAAAAAATACAGATAAGAATGTATGAGGGTAATTTGGCCTGGTTAGAGAGAAACAAGAGGTTTGGAAACGCAGGGCTACACTAGGCTTGAAAAGGATTGTGTGGGTGAGCAGGCATTCTGGGCAGAGAGTGTGGCAGCTTCATTAGCAGACCAAGCAGGATTTTGAGTTCCTTCTTTTCTACTGTTCTGTGTGACCTCTTTGTGGCCCACTACAGATGGGAAGCTGAGAGGTAGAGCTGAGCTGGGGAATGACAGTCTCCTTCCTGCCATTAATGACAACTTTTGTGCTTTCTGGGATCTCAAGCCCTTCAGCTGTTGCAGTGAGCTGTTGCAGTTACTCCTTGTGAACAGGCAATCTTTTTCCAAATGAGGGCAAGGTCTGAAAATAATTTTTAACCACTCTTCAGATACGGAGACACATTCAGTTAAAAACAAATTTCAGAGTATATTAAATATCCTTTAGGTAGCCAAAAAGGTGCTAGAGTAGAGGAAATGAGATGACATTTTTTTTGTGTTATTAAGCCTGTAATCCTATGAGGAAAAAAATAATCTTCCCAGTTCATTCATGGTGTCTTGATAATTTAAGTGTTTTTCCTTGGACTCCCTGATTAACTACTTGCATAGCAGAGGAGTGTTTAAGTAGTGAGATACCTCCATGATTAGTATGTTTAAGCATCAGGTTCCACATTCTTTCAATGACAAAAATTTAAAATACTGATAATGTTAAGTGTTGACAAGCATGCAAAGTAAGGAACTTTCATACAGATAGGAAGGTAAAAATTGATGTAATTATCTTGGTAAAAATTTTGGAAGTTTTAATAAAGTTAAACATAAACTCTACTTTTAGTTATATGCCTGACAGAAATAAAAATATATATCCACATAAAAATTTGTACATAAATATTTGTAAGTTTTATTCATAAGAAAAAAAATTCAAAATTTTTATGTATATATTGATTGAATAAGCAAATTATTTTATGCCTATGTTGTGTGATATATCTGGTAATGAAAAGAAAGGCACTACCATTGCATGCAGCAAATGAATAAATTTCAGAAACATCATATGTTC